CGGGACTACTCACGAACTACCTATAACTTACGGTGTCCCTCAGGGAAGTATCCTTGGTGGCATACTGTTTTTAGTGCACATTAATATCCTACGTCGGATTCCCTTATTTTGTGGTAGAGCGTTTACCTACCGCAGGTGACACTTGACGCCTTAATTATAATTGTAGGCCTGAAGTTTACCGTCATGTTCAGTTAGACTTTGATGCATTATCTAAATGAATAATAACAAGGTCAAAATTTCATACAACGATAAACCAAATCTAATCATTTTTAATATTGTAAAGGCCACTTACGGTGTTCCAGTATCCTCGGTTACATACTGTTTTTATTGTACATTGATATCCTACGTCGGCTTCCCTTATTATGTAGTAAAGTGTTTACATACGCGGATGGCACTTGACGCCTTAATTGTCCGTACAAATGTAGGTATTATTTAAATAGATAGTCAAAGTCAGAACTTTAAACAGTGAGAAAACAAATTAAATCACTTTTAATATTACAAAAGTTACGCAACATGGATGTCTATTACGAAATGCGATACTACGTGACTGCGTTCCCAACGAAGCTCACACAGACTAGATATGCCAGTTTTACGATGAAAGTAATGTCAAAATTCGATACGTAATCTGACATTTCGGAGTAAAGACGTATGTCAAATGACGATCTTCGTATGCGTTTCGTGGTAGTCTCCGGTCCGATACGAAGTTAATACGATGACCGTTGCTTCGTATTTCGTGGCAGACTTCCTACAAACGTGGTAGATTTGTGACAAAATGCAGATATGCATATACAATTTATTTGGCTCTTAGATCTGTTTGGTCAATAAATAAAAACTTTTTTTAGATTAAAACTGACAGAAAGGTTTATATTGAAAACGAAGTGGAATCTAGCTTTTCTATACCGTCGCCTTACTTTCTCAAACTCGTATCTTAAACCACTAAGTTACTGAAATGCGAAAAATGGATGTATGTACACATTCTCACAGGCTGATTTCACATTAAATTTCTTTCATATTCACACAGACTTTAATCTATTCTTAAAGTAATGCGTCCAAATTAGCACCCTTGATAAGATATTTAAAATAATTAAAAAGTTTTGCCATGTCCTGAAGAATCACTCTTTATAAGATACGAGTTTGAGAAAGTAATGCATCGATATTCTGCTTTAAAAAACTACAAAAATCGTATATTTCGATTCGTAATATTTTGATCGAAAAACCATATTACAAACTTGAAGACTACGTGTTAGATAAAGATGTATGGAAAGACGACACGGCTCCAGAATCCACACAAATTTGATTCAAAGTGTATTCCATAGCATTTAAGTTTATTTGAAAAGAGCAATCCCTAGAGTTTCTTGCTCGTTCTTCTCAGGGAGGTCAGCGTAGTGAACGAGCAGTAGCTTAAATGTGACGTTTTCAAGTGTAAACTTATTTTACCTATGGAATAAATAATCTTTGACTTTGACTTTGACTACGTGAAGTAATTTCACACAATATTGCCCCGGTCGAATATGATTCGTACTTAATGGCTATTAGACAAAACAGTGATTGCGTCACTGTTTTTTTACCTTTCACTGCTGCAAATACTGCACAACGATTCTTTTCTTTTCAGGGTGGTTATTTACATAAATAACAAATTAAGTTATCACTATAAATTTATAAAAACAGCAAATTATATCTTATTGGTTGCTAAAAATTGATTACTCCGATACTGCTGTTCTAATATAACATTTTCAAATTAAAATCGTACACATACTGGTTAATTTGAAACACAACATTGCACAAAGCCATCTGCTACTCAATACTAAGAATCGACCTTTTAACTTTCAATTTTAATGAAAATATTTACGTAGTTACAGTTAGTAAGTGGTCTGTGTGTATTACCGATCGGCTCGCGACGTTGACGCTTCGTGCGAGCTTCAAAAGCGGCGCCACGTTGCCAATTATTTATCGAGCTTTGGCTACAAGGGTATCAGTTTATAAATTTTATATAAACACGGCAGCCTTTCTGGACTGAAACGAATGTGATATAATAATAAATATGTTAGAAGTCGGTATGAGAAGAAGCGATAACCATAAAGTAAATAATGAAGAACCGAGAAATACTTCTATAACAAAAACCTGAAATGCTGTAGAACACTTTTTATATAAAATTTAAGTGTGCATTTGACCTCCATTTCTCCTGATGTAAAAGTGACGATGAGGTTATCGATGGAGCATGCACGTCTAAATAAAGCCTACTCACCCTCGTTTTGAATAGACCCAAGTTTAGGTACAGGGAATTTCTATATATACATACATACAACTGTATACAACTTCAGGGTGGAACCTCTATCTATGTCTAGCCCTGAATGATAGAAAGGCAATGGCGGCAAAAATATCATGCAATTCCATTGCACACTTTCCTGTAGAATACCGATAAGCAGGCAACTTTAGTTTTGTTAGTTTTGCCTATAGTTAAGCCTATGCCTAAAGCCTCTTGCCACGCTTTTCAACTGAATGTAAGGTGGCCATTTGGTATTTAGCAGAACCATCCCATAGGTGGCAGCAGTAATCTGTATACTCTGTACAACTGCCTCCGTGGCAGAACGGTTACCATGCCGGACTGCCACGCAGAGGACCCAGACTCGATTCCCGGGCAGAAACATTTGTAAGGCCTACATTTTATTTCTTTCGTGAGTTTGTGTGTAATTTGTAGTTGTTTATGTGTGTGTCCAAGGCACCCGCGACACAGGGTTTCCCTAGTGTGGGGCTATGTTGAGTGTGTGCGTTATTATTATTATTATTATACCTACCTGTATGTATGTAAACAGGCAAAAGAAAAACTCATACAGCCAATTGCCCTGTACCGCTTATTTTAATAAAAAGTAACATGGCAGTAAAACAATCTGTATTCACATTGACTTAATGTATTAATTTGTGTTTGTTCGTCTTTTTTGTATTTTCATTGCGAAAATGAGTTCTAGTGACAAGAGCGATAACGAAACAATATCTACTGGGTTATAAAATGTCAAATGTTATTTTTAATATTAATTAATATTTATTTACTTTTTCTAATATACATCTCTTTAGTCTTTCATTATTTTCTCGCATTTCTTGAGACAAACACAATATATGCGTCGGCGAGAACGTGGATTCCTTGACTCGTACTAATACAAGTAAATGATACTCGTCCAACAATCCTTTACTACCCGGATTCTGCAACAATGTACTATTTTTGCTATAGTGTTATAACGCTGTCAAGCTTTTACATTTTTATCATTATAAAACGTCGTGAAAGACGCTTTTCCGTGAGTAATATTTTAACAATCCAAAGTTATTACAAGCTGTAAGTTTTAATTACTTTCCGAAATGCGAAATTACGAATACAAGCGACAAAACCATAAAAAAGTGAAAAACAATTTACTTTTCGTTTCTTTATTAAAATGGGATCTTGACACAATTCAAACTTCAACGATCGTTTCGTTTGACGAAGAAATGTTTTAGAGTAGAGTCGTCTTTTTCTTTTTTTAACCAACTTTAAAAAAAGAGATGGTCAATTCGATTGTATTTTTTTCTTTGTGTGTATGTTGCGCAATGACTCCGACGTTTGTGAACCGATTTCGATGATTCTTTTTTGTTGGTAAGAAAATAATTAACTTTCCGTTAAACGATTTGAATTAAACAGGGCAAATAGATGTGCGAACTTTTGGGGTCGGTTTATTTATGAAAAAGTTGTAATTCTTTTTTTATGATATCAAGTGAGGGGACGAATAAGTTGTGCGCCTCGTTGAAAGCGACTGTCCGTAACAGTTGCAGTGCTGGTCAGAACTTCAAATCGCAAAGATCTGAGGCTACTGCGCCCGTTACTAGTTGACAAGAAAATACTCGACAGGCTTATTCCCCTGCCCAGCAGTGTGGTTTACGGTATCAAAAGTATAAAAGGCGTAGCGAGTGCCTGACGCACACACACACACAGACACAGCCCCCGTTTTAGCACGTACACTAGTAGATTCTCTCCTATAGCCCTTCTTGCGGAAGTCCTCAGTAGCGTCGTAAGCTGAGATCCGAGCCACTTGGGCACCCTCAGGCCCGCTATTTAGTTTTAAGTTTAGTTTTTAGTTTACTTTTATTTATTTATTTATTTGCAAACAATGTAGGTACAAAAATTACATAGGTAATAAGTACATACATACCCCTTTGGGGTGCAGCAATTAATTATTATTAAACGTAATATTAAAATTGTAAAAATAAAAATAATAGCAAAAAATAATAATAATAACATTTAGGAACTAATACATATATGTAGGATCTTAAAATTATCTTTAATAAACTTTAGAACATAGTATTACATAGACTTAAAATTACTTATCTGAGACTGGACTCTTTTAGCTTATAGGAGAGTTCATGAAGTCTCCCACATTGTAATAACATTTACTTAACAAGAGAGACCTCAACTTGGTTTTAAACACGTTGTCACTATCTACTTTCTTTAGGATGTCTGGTATTTTGTTATAAATTAGTATGCATCTATATAGCGGGCTATCTCTAAACATTTCCAATCTTGGAGTTGGTAATACGAGCTTTGCGTTTCGAAGTGTGCTTTCTACGAATTCAAAAACTTTACGGGTTAAGAGCCTTCAGCTCGCATATTCGTCCGGTGGGGCAGTCAAGGCCATCAGCGGTCAACTGCAGTGTTCTTCAGGAAAAAAAATGACGAGACACATTGCTGCTCATTCGTTTGTCACGTCTCAACATCATAGCAAGACTGTGTACCTGCCGTTTTTGTGAGATACCCATTTATTTTGTTATTATTCGTATGTGAATTTATTTTTCTTAAAATTAGGTTAATTGTACGTTGATTATTTGTATATTGTTTCGTAATGATTATACGTTAGGTTAAGTTAATTTTATATAAATGATAATTGACTAAAAATAACAAATGATTGTGACATGACGTAAATAAAAATGTGAATGAAAGTAAATGGCACAATTGACGATAATGAGGTGGCAGACAATACCTTGGACCGTCCCCGGACGCGCTTGCCGTTGTTCAGCCTCAGCCAAGCATCCCATCGGTGTCGGTATACCGAAATGGTGTTCCAGTGGCCGAGTCGGACAGGTTCTGGAGATCGGAGGATACCAGCGCCGCTGCCACAGTCAAATCTGAAAATAAAAGATCAGACTTAGACCTATGTTTGTAGCGTGATTGTAATCTAATAACAGAAAATTACTTCAACAAAACTAGGAACTTTCCTTTCTATCTTTTATTATTATTATTTTTTGACGGAACTTACAATGTAGTCGACGATGGAGCATGCTCACCTAAATAATGCCTATTTACTCTAACCTTAAAAAGGCCCAAGTTATACAAAAGACAGAGTTCTTGTCGTGTACAAGACCATTGTCATCTTTTCTGTAGCAGATACGCTGAATTTCTTAGCGTGTATACGCGCCCGTACTCTCATGAGGCTTTGAAAATTTTTTTCGCATACTTTACCATAGACTGCTCGGAAAAAACATTTGCCTGTAAGCTTTAAATAGCGTTATTGTGTAGTCTGTCTTTTTTGAAGATGGAGTAAAATGACAGCTCATTGCGTAAAAGTGTTGTCCGATTGCAAGTAGCTAGTAATTTACAGTCGATGAATTTGTCGAGTCCATTATATTGACTATCGACTGAATGTTGGTTACGCTTATGAAATACATAACCGAATTTGTTTCATTTGAATCATAATCGGAGCATTATTCGTCCAACTGCTGGATACAGGATCATTGGAATTGTTGTGTTAATTATATATATATAGATATATTTTCAAGTTTCTAATTTGAATTTAATATACATAATCAAACCCGCCTGCTGTTATTAAAATGTGTATGACTAAAAACTTATTTCGACACTAATAGTTCAATTGTCAAAAAATAAGAATAAAGAAAATGCTACCGAAATTCACAATGCAGACATTTTTGGCAAAATTTTATCTTCTTTCACAATCGATCGATAAAACTGTAGACAACAACTATATTACTATTTAAAATTTTACGAAAACTGGCAACTCTGCAAATGTCATTTTACTCCATATTCAAAAAAGACAGACCATAACTTCATACGAGCAAATCTGCGGGCCAGCAGGAACATTTATAGGAACAGCTTCATTATGAAAGAAGAAGCTAAGTCTAATATCACCGATCTTAATACGATCTGATGGTTATGCAGACAGTTTTATTAAATTATATAAATGACCAGTAACCCGCTACCAACCCATAGCCCTCGCAGAATAATACAAGTAGAAATTACAAAAAAACAGGGGATACGATAAAAAACTCTCTAAATCACTGGAGGAAATTAAAAACAATAAAGCAACATTTTACTTTATTAATTTATGAAGTATATTTATTTCGTTTAAATTTCCAAAACCAAGTTAATTGGGAATGGATTTCACATTAATTTTATCGTTATAACGTTTCGGTGCTACGTTTCGTGTCTCTGACGCGTATATGAATTGATACGCAATTATGTGATACGCGTGTCTCGTCTATGCTAACGACAAAATAGAGAACACGCGTCAAAGCAGTAAAAAAATCTTACCTAAGTTCAACATGTCCATTTCTTAGTAGTAATGCCAAATAGTCGCCGGATAAATCGTCGTGCTCGCCCGTCAGTAGCAGCACGCCGCGAGCGCGTTCAGGCCGTACGCGAAGTCGCACGCGCACGCGCTTATAAGCCCCACGTAAAGCGCGTAACGCTAGCCATGATGTCCCGGAAAAACGGGGAGTTGTTACTTTCGTATCTGTTGGATAAAAAAGCATTTCTTTTTTAATTTAATAGTGTAATCTACATATTTCAGTTCATAAACAATAACAGATTTATAATCACGCTATGTAATATAAAAATTACAAATTTTGATTTAGGCGGAATGTCTTTCTTATTTCAAAGTTGTTTACAAAAATTAATATTTAAAATTTGTGCAAATGATCCATCGAGAAAAGTCTCACCAGTCGTGGTTTTGTTTTACCATTACGTTCATTAAACCCTCAAGCAATCATTGTCATGTACTAATATAGTTTTCCATATCGTCGACAAAAACCCTCTAATATATATTAAAGCCCAAATCGTCAACATGATGCTTAGATTGGCAGTAGAAAAATAACAAATTGTTTCGCTATAATCTGTAGCCAACATAATCACGTTTTTGCGTGTTTCAGTTCATGTTTTGTGAGAATATAATAAAAATTAATGAAGACTGGAGTTGTAACATTCGTGGCCTATTTATAAATTGATAATTCAGAAGACTTTTTTTATTATACTAAGCAATGGGACGACTTAGCCGTCGAAGCCGAAATCCGGTGGTAAGCGACACACCTTACAGTTTACAAGACCTACGTGTCTGTAATTTTGTCTGCACCCTTAGCCTTCAAAACGAAACGTGGTAATGCTCACATAGCTGCTTGGCGACAGAAATAGCAGTACTTCCCTACGAATTATTTCACAAGGACCTGTACCGCTACTAATAAATTATAGATATACATATAAGCAACTTTACACAACATCGTGAATTCGTGAATCATCATTGCAAAGTGTTATTACGAGTTGACAAACATTAGCATGTAAATATGACCAATACCGTCACTAAAGGAAAAAGTCAATTTTAGGAAATGAGCACTGAAGTTTCTCAGTATAGGTTTTATACAATGAATAGTTTACGAGTAAACCTAGAATTATTTAAAAACTTGTGACGATGCGACCTCTTACATCGTCATCCCAACTTTTTTGTCACCCTTATCTCCGGTTCCTGGCCAATTACTATTGAAATTTGGAATCGTTCTCTAATTCTTTTTCTTCGTCACTTTTACGTTACTTCGTTCCGTCGTCACGCCATACAAAATTCTCTAAGCGAGCGGACGTGCTAGACTCTCTACAAAACTCCCGAACCGAATGGACGTTCTATCTCATCATGTATCACTCCATACTAAATTACAAATACAATTTCTCATGCACGTTGTATGACGTTGTAACGTGTTTGTGCACATATATCACACATATGTTTGTGTAAAATTTCAAAATATATCGACGATACCGTAAACGTTCCTGACACGTCAAGAAATGACAAACATCTATAAGGACACCAACAGGGCTCTCCAGGCTACACTACAACCTATACAGTACGTGCTTGGGGGATGCCAGGTAGCGCGTGACAACTGTTACTACAGTTAAAAATATTTCAAGTTAGATAGCGCTGCAGTGGCACATCTGTACCGCGTCACTACTAACGTTCATACAAAATCTAGTCTGCACGTGTCGCGCGTTACGCCACTGTGGCGTTGCAGATGCACTTCTAAATATTGTATGAAAATTAGTAATGGCGCGGCTGCATTGCTTTTATAAGCGTCTAATTTGAAGGCACCCTAATTGGGACTCATATCCATACAACTAGTATTGCTCTATCTTAGCTAAGGAATGTTTTGTTACGCAAAATTGCGATTTAATTCTCATTTATAGCATTCAGTCAAAGAAGACTGAAGTGATTATAATAATCTTTGTCAGTAATAAATATAGGCTACATTTACCTAATCATAATCATATCATTTATTGCTTTATGTGGTACAAAAGGTCTTAAAGCTATTATTACATTCCAACATAAACCCTGTAAGGGCACTGCAATTAACTTACTTCACTATACTTATATTAATACTAATAGGTACACATAAATTCATGCCAAACTTAACTTACTGTACTGTACACATAATGTCATGTACTTTTATTATCGAAATACTCTTTTAGGTCATAGAAACAGTTCGAGAGCAAGTAACTTTTCAGAGCGTTTGCGAACATGTAATTATTTTCAATGTTTCTTATTCTAAGAGGTATTTTGTTATAGACTCTTATGGCCATATTGTGTGTACCCGAGCTAACAATTTCTAAATTTGTAAAAGAACCAATCAATTTGTTTCGCGGTCTCAAATTACGTACATAGGGATTATCACTTCCTTGTCCAAACAAGTGCCTGTATTTTCTTACAAACTTACCAATTTCAAATACATATATTGATGTCAAAGTCAAAACGTTCAAACTAAAAAAATGTTTATTTGCACAATTAAGAAGGATTAATGATAATGTACACGTGAGTTAGTTTTAATTTAATTACTCAAAACTCTGTTTGCTTTCTGTTATCAAATAACATTGTAATATCACAACGAATTTAAATGAATAGGTTTGGATATAGATCTTATGTCCTCGATTAGTACTTTTAATCTGAATCGAAGTTGATGTTATGGAAAATAGTCACGAATATAGATTATTTTTGAAGATAACGAGTGTAGACTATTATGGACTGAACATAAGTTAGTTAATAACCAGGGATCGGAATAGGTAGAGTTTTTTTACCTAAACTTCGTGGAACATAGACAAAAAATGGAGACTGCCTTACGACAATATTTTTTAGGTCCTGGACCTGTTTGGGGTTCAGGAAGTCACTTAAGTACATTAAAAATTGACGTAATTGGGGACAGGCAGGTACACTATATTTTATCTTAACTTTGCGACACAGTGGGTCGGATCAGCAATATCGCGGACATTGGATTTTTTTCACGATACCTCTCTAAAAAAATGTCAATCGAGAGATCCTATTGTTCTAATTAAATATTGTCATATCACATTTTTCCATAAATCTAATAGGTAGGAAGGTAAGTAGGAAAAAAATAAAATGTGTATTTTTGTACGGGACCAGATCCGATCCACTGTGCGTAGCAAAGTTAAGATAAATATAGTGGACCTGCCTGTCCCCAATTACGTCAATTTTTAATATTCTTAACTTTTCCCGAATCCCGAAAAGGTCTGGGCCTAAAAAATATTGTCGTAAGGCAGTCTCCATTTTCTGTCTATGTTCTTCGTAAAGATCCCTATTCCGATTCCTGTTAATAACTAATCAGTGATAATAATATGAAGAAAGCGTGCATATCTTTTAAAAGAATCAGAAAATTGTATCCTTGGTGTAGTGGCCTTATTACACCAAAGATACAATTTGCAAAATGACAACTTTTTATGAAAAGGTTTAAACATTTTACGCACAAAATTAGTTGATAAATTTGTTAAGCTTAAATAAAAGGGTTCTAAAATTTCACTTACACATTTTTTTTCATGTAGTTATTATGACATGTGGTTTTATTCGCATTTAGTCGCTTGCTACATTTGGGTACGAAATATTGATATTGGTATGAAACTGACAGAAAAATATGCCCAAATTATCGGTGTGTTGGTCTACGGTACTATGTTCCGTCCAAATTTTATTTAACTTTTGACATATGCATGCCTCCGAAGTCCCGTGTTTATTGATTTTTTTTTTTTTTCTTTATTAAGGCATTGGCAAAGCCATCAGCCTAAACATGAAGTTTAATTATGTTTCTGTAAATATGGCCGCCACAAAGAGGATAGGCAATTTGAGGCGGCGTGCTTGGATTGACTCGGGATTCCTTAAAACGGGATACGGGTATTTTAGTTCGAGATTCGTATAATTTCGCGTTTTAATCTTCGATTAAGGCACAATAGCACTATCCTATTCCACTTTATACTAGATTGCACAAAATAATTGAAAGTCAAAATAAAAACGACACTTTTCCCTCCAAAAGGTCCAGAGCGAAATCCAACCGTGTTTATTGACATGCAACCATAGACCAAAAATGCAATATTTCCTGGGCTCGTTTATTTTTTAATTTTAGTGAAGCGGCGTGCTTTTTAGCTCCGATATTTATCGAGCCAGCAAATTACGTAAGGAATATTATTCAATTGATAAATTTTGGTACCTATCTAATAAATTAGAATGAAATTAAATAAATCATAAATAATTACAATAAATTTGTATTCTTTATTATAAAAAACCGTCGGATTCTTCTCCATACGAACGGGAACCATCACTTAAATGTTCATTAACATCATTGACTTACAATTATATGGACGTCGGGTCCGCGCTAAAAAGTGTCCGAACTTATAGGGCGTTAAAATCGTATACAGAGCGTCATTCACGCTTTAGTCTTCGTTTGTTCGACTGACAGCGAAGCAAGCAAAATTAGACAGTACTGCGCTGACATTACAATTTAAATTCAACGTTTTAGCTTTTTCATATTCCTTTACATGTCACTACGTTTAAATAGGTTGACTTGGGACATTTTTTTCGTGGTTTGTGTATTAGACCCGTCGTCCATTTATTTGTAAGTCAATGATTAACATTCATTATTAATTCTTGAGTACACAAATTGGCAAACGTAACTTCACGACCCCAATCAGACAACATCTTTTTTAAACCCGCTCACATTCACGATTAAAACTTCTTAATAAATAAAATCGATTGTTATAAAAAATCGAATAGGAAACGCATTAGGACATCAGTAATTGGTTAGAATTCGAGCTGTCAAAAGTTAAGTAAATGGTCCAACGTAGTATAATGTCGTTATCCGTGAGATCTTAGCACTCTTTTCTTTGTTATTATTATTATTCCTTATATAAAATTATATTATAAAGGTAACTAAGCGGGTAGTATGTCCATGTGTGCGTATTGTGCAGCCATACAAAGGCGTAACGCTGCCCGCTTTTCGACACCCTGCAGGGATCGCCATGCCATCCATTAATTCTAGTCCAATATAGAAGTTTAAATATTTGTTAGTTCTTTGTATCAAATCTTTTAACAGTAATCTAAGACTCAGAGGTCTTTATTACGTCGGGTTCACGCATGTCACTATATTGTACCCTTGATGTAATAAGGCCACATCTGCAAAATGACAACTTTTCAGGAGCGAG